AGAAGAAGCAGAGAGTATTTGGTGCTGTCAATATAACAGAAGATGTCACTCAGGTTCTATTTTGTGCCTTTTGCCTCTGTTTCTAAATCAAGTTACTGATTCTGCGGTTGGGTTTTATTTATTTGTTTGTATAATATTGGGATTTTATAATCTGTAGTGCATGTCTAACTTTCATTTTAAGACAGCCATTCCTTGATGAGGTTACTGAAGTGCTCTAACGTGATGCTTGGGTTGGTTTCTTTTTAGCTGTTCTGTTTCAAATGTGGTGTTCATTTCTTCAATTAATTGAATTTGATTCCCTTGGTAGAGCTTCTATCAATGCATACTCCACCTCGGCCAATTGAGTTGTTCTTCAAGCTTTCTTTCCTTTTCCTCTTGTTGAAATTCTGAGTGTTCTCCTCTTAAGTTTTTTCCAGATCTGATTTTTTAAATGTTAGCCTCTCTTTCTATGTCTTGTAAATTGGCATTGAAACAATATAAGTGAAGGTTTCTTAATCCTTATGCATATGCCATTTGTTCATTTTCTTCGATAATTTTTTTTCCCCTTTGATTTATGTTTTTTCACGTTTGATTTTCAGGTGAATCTTTTTGTTAGTGTTGGGAACCCAAAACTATGTTGCGGAGGCTTTATGCACCTGAAGCAGATGTATGGAGTGCAGATACTATTTTGTACATGCTGTTACATGGTGTGCCACCTTCTTGGGCAGGTAACCGTCTTGGTGCTCATGCATTGTTGAGAGATCAAGTATTGGATTGGGATAGTTTCTAATGCTACTAACATATACTGACAATATGGCTTTCTTTTAAATCCTTTGTCAACTCGAGGAACTTAAATGGGGATTTGAAGCAGATTTTAGTCTAAACCATGTACTAGCTTTTTAGATAGTGCCAAGGATTTCATAAAAACAAGGCTTGAATGCAATCCAAAGAAAAGGCTAGATTGTTTTTAAGTGTTTAAGTGTCTTTAATTTGATTTAAGTAAAGAAGTATGCTAGGAGTATTAGGCTCAAGCAATTCTTTTCAGCAAATAAACTTAAGAAGATGGTTTTTCAGGTAAGATTCTTGCAAAGGTACAGTTGTTTGCTTTCATATACGTTAGCCTCACATTGACGATTGCTCTGTATCAATATTTCAGATCCCATTTATTGAATCAGTGGTGGAGTGGGAGAATCCCAATGCTAAGGATGTCCTTTTCCTCCTTCTGCGTTTCTACCATCGCTCGTAAGAATGTTTTAATTCCTCGCTTTCTCTCTCTCTCTCTCTCTTTCATTTTGATGAATTACTCATTCTTATTTGTTACTATTTGCTACCATGCAATTTCAGATTTCTTGCATCTCTTTTGCACTCTCTCTCTCTCTCTCACTCTCTCTTCTTCCTGTAATTAGTAATTTCTTCTTCCTGGGGATGATCTTTCTTGAAGTTATATATTTGTTTTTTATCTTGATTTCCAACCCATGCATTTGGCTTTGAATTTTAATAATTGAATTGGCTTTATTTGTTCAAATATATGCATACATAAAAGAAGTTAAACTTAAATACGCAAAACGTAAAACTCGTATTCGTAGTTATGGGAGTACTGAACACCAACGGTTCGATGAAATGTCTAACACGAAGTTTTTATTAACCGAGTTGTAGAAGCATTGAATGATGCTTTTTCAGTCATAATAGGTACAGAACCATTTGCTGTATAAGCATTCAACAACAGATTACTACTAATCAATGTCTCCGTAATTTTAAATTCACCATGTATCATATGAGGAGATTTTCCAGTGCTTTAAAAATGCATTTAGCAACGGGTAATTTTAGAGTGTGTAACTGTACTGAAGGCCATTTTGATGTTCGGATGTGATTGGATTAAGTGCTTGCTTTCGTTATATCCATGTTTTCTTATAGATTTAACATTAGATGACACTGACCGATGTCAAGGGAAGTCCAAAATGAAGTAATATATTCTACTTGTATGTTGGAATTGCAGTGTGCCGGTGATCCTATATTTTGTCCATTTTTTAAAAACTGTTTCAGTTATACCCTCTCTTCTGATACACAGATTGGAGCCCAAAACCATCCAAGAACGGGGAGATATTGGAAAATACCACAATTCAAGAAGCTAATGTGATGTTCATTCTTCAAATCATGCAACAAAATGGATGCTCTTCTACCATTTGTAACTTAGTTTTAGAATTACCTTCTTGACATCTCTGTTTTTCAGTGGTGAGCCTTAATTCTCAGTCATTTTCAAAATTCTATATTTGTTGGTCTATGTCCTAAACATGTACTCACATTTGCATTTAGGTTTGAATTGTAATAATAAAGTTGGTTCTCAGATTCTATGAATTGAATTTGTTGATTAGTTAAAAATAAACCTAAGCTCAAGCTCCCACCGAAAAAGGATCGACGAATTTGGTGTTCATGAACGTAGCCATGCTTACTGAAATTTGGTTCTCAGATTATATGTAGTCTGAATTATTTTACTCTCTTTTAACTCTGCTCTCCGCTCTGCAGAGCTCACGATTGCAAAATGCCACAATTCAAGAAGATTACTGTCTGATTTTATATCATTGTCCTGATTCTCCTCTAAAATACATGCATTCTGTTTGAAAATACTTGGGCAGGAAAAAGAAAATACTTGTAATTCCATATAGAGAATGAGTTAATAAATGTTACGTCTTATGCGTCGAAGTTATCACAGAAATGATGAGTAAATTATAAATTAGTCCTTCTCTTTTGAGAAATGAATTAATTAGTCCCTTTTATTTCAAAAATAATTATTTAGTCCTTTCCTACTTTTTTCTAGTTTATTTTGATTTTTATTTTTTTTAAGAAATAGAAGGAAAAAAATAAGCAAAAAGATGAAAAGATTTATGAGAAAAAAAAGTCATTTTATAAAATAAAAAAATTAAATTAATCATGGTCAATCCTTGTTAAAATGTTTAAATAATTATTTTTCTTGAAACCAGAGACTAATTAATTTATTTTTCAAAAAAAAAGAGACTAATTTATAATTTACTCCATAAATGATCTGATATTGGCAACCAGTTTCCTGCAAGAAGAGTCACTAGTAAGTATCGATTTGCTCACCAATCTCTAGGCCGGAGGAAATCATGGGCTGTAATGAATACCAACCACTATTAAGAAATAATTTTGAGTAGATTATTATTTATATTCCCGTGTTTTTATGAAATACATAGTCAATCCATTTTGTTTTAAATAAATTCAATATTGGTCCTAGACTTTTATTTTTTTTATTTAGTCCTTCTGTTAATATTTGTGATAACCTAATTGTCTTTTTTTTTAAATGTCCTTGATTTGCAGTCAAATCTTATAATCTCACCTACTACAAATAAAATTAGAACTGCAATTTGCAATTTCGAAATTTAAAAAATATTTAATAGTTAAATGTAATCAAAAAACTAACATATGATTTTCAAAACTAGAAAGACTAACTTACAAAATTATAAGCACAATAAGGATTAAATTATAATTTACTCGATAAAATTTCACTTACATGTTGTTAGGCTCATATAACGAAAAAATTTTATAATACACAAGGAGTGACTAGTGGCATGTACAGTAGTTACTTCTTGTATCCATTGTGAGAAGAGAGATAAACATATAAAAAAAGAGAGAAATTACATCTATACCCACCAAAAGTGATAAGAAGATTTTCACGTCCGCTTAAATTTTTTTATTTTCTCTCTCCTATTTTTCTCTCTCTCTTTTGTATGTCTATCTCTCTCCTCAAAGTGGACCCAATGAGTAACTACCATACATAGATTTATCCTAAGCATCAAGCATATAACCATTGAAAATTATTACAACCCATGAAATAAATACTAACAAAATAACTTTAAAAAAAATAATTTAAGACATTAATCAGCCAAAATAAATGAAACCTACTTACCTCTTTTAGGTTTGATTAGAATTTCCTTAGCTCTTTTTCTTTCCTTTTTCCCTTTTCTTTCCCTTTTCTTTCTTTCTCTCTTTTTTTTGTTTTTCTCTCTTCAATTTGGCTTCTCTTTTAATTCTGGATGGCTATGGTTTTTGGCCTAAAAATGGCAGCCATTTAACCCTCTCTTTCCCTTATATACCCACCTTTTATCCTCTCATTTATTTATATCATAACTCGTTACAATTTAACTAGGCCAAATGTAAAGTGAAGAAAGCTTGGAAGGCAAAGCTGGCATGTTTTGGAAGTCAAAGGTGATGATTTGGCTTCTAAGCATTTAATTCAAGTGCTTAGGTGGCTAAAGAAAACTTAGGATAAATAAAAAAATTAATAAGCTGGGTTAATGAAATTAGACAAAATTTCTTTCATAAAAAATTCGAAAATTTCCATTTTTAAAATTCGAAATTTCTTTTTTTCAAAATTTCAGTAGTATTACCTCCTAACCCATCTATACTAAAATGTGCATAACTCTTTCTATATGTATCCAAAATTTATGAAATTTTATAGAGAGCTAGTACACACATAGAAAAATAACTTTTATTCTTTACTTGTTTCTCAAAAATCAATCTAACAGCATCAAATAAATCTCACAAGATTCGGGCGATTCTTCTTCCAAAATTCCAGCAGAATGCATTTCGAAACAACCCTCACTATAATTGGTATAACTTTTAATGTATAGGTTTAAATATTATAAAATTTTATACAGGCCTATTAAACACATAGATAAACAACTTTTATTCTTTAAGGTTGACCCGAAAATTACTCTAAAGTCCTCAAATAATTCACACAAAACTCGGTCAGAATATAGTTCTTAAAACACCGATTTTGCATATTTGATTTCTTTAATAATTAAACCATTAATCTTAAGCACAATAACTTTAATTTAACATAAATCACATATTTCAAGCATTAATTTCTCATGATGAAATGAGAATTATACTTACTCTTAATATACATATATATATAATTATTTTAATACATGTCGCATTACGGATAAGGGTTTTTACGGGAGTTACATCATCCTTCTCCAAAACCCCGAGCACCACTCCAGCCTATGGCTCAACAGCAACTCCAGGTGTTGACAGCACAACAGCCACAAGGGAAGCCACAAGAGGAGCCACAAGAGAGGCCAGAAGGAGGACTCCCCAATACTCCTAGCCTAAAAAATCATCTGGCAAGCAAAAACTGTAGGGAGGCAAACAAAACCTTGCAGCTGCCCACTCCTTCACAGACCTCACAAGGCTTCATCTTCTTCCCCACATCCATCTTCAACCCCCACCTGCAGTAACAAAAGGGGGAGGAGGAGGCAGCCACAATTCATCTTCCTCCTCCCTCATCTTCGACAGAACAAAGCTCCACACGACAACCCACGATTCCTCCTCCTCACAAGCTCCAAATTCTCCTCCGCGCAGCATCTCCCTCCAAACATGCCATCTTCCTCCCTCCTCCAAGCCTTTACTAACCACCATCTCTAAAATACCCTATAACTGTCCAACCGAAAGCTACACACCATCCTCCTCTTTCACTAAAACCTGTACACTGCCACCATTCAAAACCCCCATAAACCGCTCACAAGCACAACTTCACCCCGCTAGCCATTCACCTACAATAACAAAAAAAAAGTAATCCTTATCATAGCCACCCGATCCCTCTTACCTAAAAATATTGCCAAACCAAGCACCAAATACCCTTTATCTCCTCACCCGCCAGTCGAACACACCAACACCATCCTCGTTGCAGCACCTTTCAGATCAATCACAGCAGCTTATGCTCCCCAACCTACCACCAGGGACTCTGCATAACAAAAGGCCCATTCAGGTCTCATATTCAGGTGTTCTCAGATCTTCGTCTAGTTGGATTAATGCTATGCCCTACGGTTATTGGAAGAACAGCAGTCTCGCAGTAACCGCTTCCCTCTACTGCCTAAAACTCAACAGCCGTGACCCATTCTCCACCCCTTACAACCCTCACAACTAACCACCCTTCCTTCGTTGCCCGAAACCACTACCTCTGACAGACAAAATCACAAACACATGATATGCATACTTTCTAAAACCCATAATCCTCCACACCCAGATACCCAATAAACCACCACCAGTATCGGTCCTCTCCTTCATCAATACCCATTGACCAGCGACCACATAAATTCTCTCCACCATCACCACAAACTCACGTTTTATAGAAAAAAGAAGCGTGAATGTTGTAATGGAGATAAAAGGAGGCAAAAAGAAATCTAGCAGTAGCAGCAGTAAGTCAGTTCAATACAAAGTCCCTCTTGGTTCTAGCATTGAAGACGTTCGTCCAAACGGTGTCATTGAAAAGTTTCGATCTACTGCTTACTCCAACTGCGTGAGGATGCTGTCCTGATACGATCCGAGAACAAATACAGGCACCTTCAGTAGCCTCTCTCTCAAGCTCCCAAAATCCGAGGCAACAAGAGGAGAGGATGGAAGATATGAAGGGGATTCAGATCACTCTGATCTGGAGGCTTCGGGTGTAAAAGTATGGATGGCAACAGGGTTGTGGAATCAGAAAAGAGGCCACGAAAACAAAGGAGAAGACTGGCAAATGGAAGAGAAGAACCTTTGAATCACGATGAGGCAGAGAAACAGGACGAAGGAGAGGAAATCGTGTGATTTCGGTGGAGATTTCAAAATGGAAGAGGCAAAGAAGATGAGGAGAAGATGGAGGGTATAAAACTTTGATTTTGTTTCATTTAGAGGTTTGATTTTGTTATTAAAAAAAAAGAAAAGAAAAAAAGGGGGAATAAGGGCTGGACTTGTCCAGCCCGCTGTCCAAGCAGCCCAGCCCAAGCCGAAAAATGGGAAAGACTGGCCTGCCCAGAAGACCAGCCCAGTAGCCTGGCCCAATGAGCCCACGGCCCACCAAAAAATGTCTAATATTTTTTTAGTTTTAATTGCATTTATTTTTGTTTTAGATAATTTGTCTTGAATGTTTACTTATGCATATTTATTTTCTGTTTAAATTAGATTTTAATATTCTATTTTTTTTAGAATCCTATTTAGTTCATTTTAATTAATTTTAATTTTAGAATTTTATCTCCATAATTAGATTAGATAACCAAATGATAAATGAATTATCGAGTCTTTTAATTTTTAGGGACCGATGACGATTCTCTATCAAAAAAAAAAAAAAAAGACATACTTTAATTTTAATTTTTTGGTTTTCACAATTAGTTTAGGCAACTAAATGATAAACGAATTGTCGAATCTCTTAATTCTTAGGGATTGATAACGATTTCCCATCGAATCATAAGCCATGAGCATTAATCCTTAGGAATCGATGATGATTCCTATTTTAAAGTAAAAATTACTCTTGTGGTTTTGATGACATGGTAGCTGGGTTTTGTGAAATTTACCTCCTAACTTATCAATTGTTAAAAGTTACTTTTAGAATAATATAAAAATTTTCAGTAATGTTTTTTTTGTCAAAAAGTATGAGATAATTTACCTACCTTTCTATATTCTATAAATAAATAAATAGATCTTCTATATATTCTCCATGTCATCGGAATTTTATTGATTATGCACACCAAAAAAAAATCTTATATATATATATATATATATATATAACCATGGATATATATTTCAACATTCTCTAAAATTTGAAACATAATCAGACCCATGATTTTGCATGGCTTGTTTGTTCTTCATTGCAGTTTTAATATACTTGCCAATATTTTCTGGTCCTCGGTTTCCTTCCCCCATTTTCCCTTTCTTCTTCTTCTTCTTCTTTTTAATATATATGTTTGTTTTTGAAGTTCAAGGTGGATACACGAAGCTGGAGTTCTTCTCCATGTTTTCTATTATCCGAGAATCAGAAGAACCATATATTATTTTCTTCTTTCATCTGGTTTCTGGAGTTCAGAGAGCTGCATATACTCATACACACGCCTGTGCACACAGGCACCCACTGTGTGTCTAATTCTTATAATTTAAGAAGGTGTGCCAATGGTATGATGTTTCAAAAAAATCTACATGCCCATAAACATGCTATAAGTTTTAAATCATTTGGCTTAATAAGAAATCTCCTCACCTAATCATCTTTGCACCCTTTGAACTGGCACAAAAACATGAGAAAACTTTGGTTAAACATGTTATATGATTAAAGGATACTTTTTAATGTATAACTTTTTGAATATTTCAAAAATAAATTTTTAAAATGATTTATTATAAGAATCGAATACTAGAACTTACCTGTATGTTTAACAGCAGACTGCCAGCCAGTAGTGACCAGACCTAAAATTCCAATTAGGTGCATGTTTTAAGTATGGATCTCCTTTGTTCAGAAGTTTGGTCCTCAGATTTTGAAATCTTCGACAACGACCGTTCAATATCCCTTAAATTTGGGAATCTGCATCTTTTATGCTCAAGCATTCATGCACTTAATACTTCTTTGTTTGAAGGATTTGAGTTCCCCTTAAAGGAAGAACCTTAGATGGCTCATTGCATGGTAAATATTAATCATTGCATGTAATTTTATTTTTTTCTAAATAATCTCATTTCCTATTTCTAGAAATAGGAATAATTATGTTTGAATTAAAACAATAAAAATTTAATTTTTTATAATAATTACGATTATAAAATTTAAATACTACACGTTTATAAAAAATTTATTTGAAAATCGATTCGTTTATTATCAAACATCAAATTGTTAATATCATTGTATGTAATTGATAATTAATAATTATAGTACTAATAATTAAATGTAAATGCTTAAATTCATCTTAAACATGATGAGTACACGTTAAGGACTTTCCAATTTTGCTTAATTTAATTTGATGTATAGGATGAATTGATAGCTAGTAATCAGTTGTTTACCTTTTTTAATTTAATTTGGAAAAGAATTTACCCTTTTTATAAAATTTAGTACGACAAGTGGTGTTTTCATTTCCATAGTTATAATTTCTTTTAAAGTTTTTAATTCTGAAAATAAATCTAAATCATCAATATCGGAAAGCATATCGTGATTTAGAAAATTTTCAAGATTTAAATAATTTTTTTTCAAAATATCATCATCGAGTGATTTTAATTTTTCTACACTATAAAGAAAACCAAAATTATCTTCATATATTTTAAATTGTTCAAACCTATTTTGAAGATAGGAAATCGCATGATCAACTAAATATCTAAAATAATTAATTCTAAAAGATTCTTTAATAGATAATTTCATGTCTTCATTTTCAATCTCATCAAATTGTTTCTTTCTTCTTATTATAGGCTTTTCACGAAATTTTGGTTCTATATTCATTTGCTCTGTAATTTCCTTAGCTAAGATTATAGAAGATGTAAACCTATTTTCTCTATAGCTTTTAAAAAAAGAAATAAGACCTTTCAAGTGGTCTATTACAAGAGCAATATCTATATCTTTAGATTGTAAATATTTATTAACCGTATTAACAACAAACAAACATATCAACTAAATAATCATGTCTAATAGAAATTCAAAATTTTTAATCTCATATGTTGCTAAAGAAATAGCTTCACTTTTTATTTTAGGATCCTCACTAGTTTTTGCTAATTGATATAAAGCATCTCTTATTTGTTAAGCTTGAAATCTAATTGCTTTAATACTTTCAATACGACTTTCCCAACGTATTTGTGATAATGGCTTAAGTATCAAATTAGAAACATGATATTGCAAAATTTTTCATCTTTTTGTAAAAGAAGAAAATAATGAATATATACGTTGTGTCACTCCAAAAAATGTAATAGCACTAGCACATGAATTAGCCATATCACAAAGAACTAAATTAAGATTGTAATGTACCACATGGTGTATAAAATGCTCTAGAATTTATATCTAATAATCTTTTTGTACACCTTGATGTTTACCTTTAATATTAGACCCATTATCATATCCTTGTCCTCTCATATCATTTACGTCAAGTTTAAGAGTTTTTATCTTAGTTGCAAGTTCATTAAAAAGACTTTCACCGGAGGTATCATCCATTTTTAAAAAATCTATAAAATACTCTTCTATTTTTATTGAAATTATCAAAATATCTACACATTTTAATATAAGAGACATCTCGTTCTTGATGACTTGCATCCGGAGTACAATCAAGTATAACTGAAAAATCTATAATAGTATTTCTTATTTCTAATGCTAAAAAATATTTATCAACTCATTTTGTATATTATGACCAAGATAATGTATATGAATATCTCCATTTTGAATACGTCTAAGGTGTTCTTGCATTATTGAGTCAAAATCAGCAATCATTTCAATTAAACTCAAAAAATTTCCATTATTGTCCCGATAAATCTTCTCATTTGTACCACAAAATGCCAAATTATTTTTTGAAAGAGCTTTCACAATAGCAATAATTCTTAATAATACATTCCTCCAATGCTCTTTCTCTTTATTTATTTTCTCTTGTAAATGCTTATCAATTGTTTTGTTTTTAAGCAATCTCATCCGAGCATCAACCCAAATGTTCATATTAATAGCATGTTCATTACTTGTCTCATGACTTTTAAGTTTGGCACTAAGATTTTTCCAATCTTCACACCCTTCATTTGCTAATTGAATATTTGATTTCAAAGTAAATAATTTACAACAATAACAAAACACTTTATCTAACTCTTTTGAATATACTAGCCATTTTGTATCATGTTTTTCTCCGTTTGGTAATTTTCGAATGTAATGAACTCGTAGAAAAATATCTAGAGTTTTTATCTCTTGGAAAATCTAAAATTTCTCTAATTGGACCTTTCTCAACTAATAAATCAATCAGTTTTGAGTCTAAATTTTTCCATTGTACCGGATCGTAAATATTTTTAATTATCGTTGCATCTTCATCATTAATATTTTCACTTTTATTGATTGAAATATCATCTTCTAAATTTTCATCATATTCTTCATTACTTTTGGTGAATTTGAATTGTTATCTTCAAATTTTTCTTCACAATTTTCAACTATATTTTTATTTAAATCTTTATCTTATTCTTCTAGTATTTGAGGTTTAATATTAGTAACAAATCTATCAAGTGCACCTTTTTGAGATTGAATTAGTTCTTCTACCTTTTTTTTCTTATGTTTTTCATATTCGATTCATACTTTCTAGTAGACATTTTATTCAAATAATAAAATTAAAATATAATTATAAAAAGAATAAAAAACTTTAGCACTCGATTATATTTGCTTGCCACACGTAATCAAGTAAACCTAGAGAGAATCACCCGAGAAAATAAAAAAAAATTGAGAAAAAAATATTATATGATTTATAGACATAATTTTATTTGCATAAATTAAAAAATTACTTTCGATTTTTCTCGTCAAGCTAATTAGAAAATGTTTTATAAGAGATCCTTGATTGTTAGGAGAAAGAAAGAAATATAATAAAAAAATTTGAAAATCTAAAAATTGTTTCACTCATAAATATTTTTCTGAAATATTTTTGTAAGTGAAAATAAAGGCTACAACTTTTAATTTATCTCATTTTTTTATGATGTAGGTTTAGAATAAAATTTTAATTAGGGTCTTCCTTTTTATGAGGGCCCTCCTTTATACGGAGGCCCTGGACATAAGCTTTAATGGGGGTATGCCTTGAGCTGGCACTGCTT